ATTTTCACAAAAAGGCAGGGGGGCGGGGTCGGGGTCATCCTAAAAACCCTTTAAAAAATCTCTTTTTTGGATACAATCGGCCCAAACAATTGTCTCCAAGCAATTTTCAAAGTCCTGGAAGTCACCCCTTTCCCCAAAACCCTTTAAACCTATAAGGCTTATGGACCCTTTAAAAATTTTGAAGTGATTCCTCCAAAACTCTTAGGGGCAACTTATGTCCCGTGGGCATTCAAACACTTTTCAAACACTGCTTTTGTTTAGAGTTTTTGAAGTTAGAAATGACCTGGGTGGTCTTGGGCTGGAGGAAGGAGTGGGGGGTTGGGAGGCAAAGAAAATTCACTGTGATGAGACTGAGTCCCCAGACAGGAGGTTTTAAACCCGGTTTTTTTGGGTGTGCAAGAGCACTTCCATTAACCGGGGACTTTTAGGGGGCAAAATTTTTGGGCCTAGGAGGGTTTTTTATCCCCACTGGGCAAAACTCTACATGACCCGGGGTCAAAAGAAAAAATTTTCCTTGGAAACCCCTGCTTTAATAAATTTTCTTTTCCCCAACCCCACAGTCCCATTCTTGACAAAATTTTTTTCTTAAAAAACTCTGGGGAAATTTTTTGAGTGTACACAATTTAAAAGGGTTTTACTTTAAAAACACCACTACATTACCACATAATAAAAGATTTAAACCTGTCTTTCAAAAGGGTTTTTTTCCCCGGGGGTGTCCCCTTTTCCCCCCCTAGTAATGCAGGTCCTCTTTAAATTTTCCCTTTAAAAAAACCCCGTTTCGGGGGACAAATTTAACACTTGTTTGGGTTTTAAATTTTTTAGTGTCTACGAAACCTTAAACCCCCGTACAAACTTTCTCAGCTGCCCTTTTTTTCCCGAACTGGCTGCCTCAAACCCTTCCTTACAAAAATTGTGTATGCCCCTACGCTTCTTTTAAACTGCAAACCACTCTTTAACCCGACCCCTTAAAAAATTTACTATTTTGGCCAAATAGTTCCAGGGGTTTTCTGTACCCGATCGGCTTTCAACTTTCCCTTCCTTTTCCTTTTTACCCAAAAAATCTCCCCTGAAACACATCACCTGCCATTTATTTTTTCCTTGATCCACACCAGCAACAACTTCTCAACCTGGGTTTGATTGTCTTGGTCTTTTTTTTTGGTTTTCATATTAACCCCCTTCGCAACATCAGCTTCCCCTTATTTTTTCTTTTATTGCCAGGATAGAAGCGATGGGGTTACTTGTTTTTTTCCCCTTTAAATCCTGGCAAGCTCAACAAGTCGCCCAACCCTCCCCTACTTCTGGGATTATTTTTTCCCTTTTCACATCTAAGGGGTTTCTCAACCCTTTTTTTACCACAGAGGGGACCACTAGCAAGTTTCTTTGGGCCCCTGGGAGCTTATTTCAAAAAGCCCACAATTCCCAAACACAATTTAATTATTCGAAAATGTTTGAATGAGACCGCAGGTTTTGTGTTCACTCAAAACCTCAACAAAGTTAAAAGCTTCATGGCCCCCGTGGGGGGGGATGCGGGGAGAGCGGGCCCGCCGGGCAGGTCCGGTTTCCTGGGGGTTCGAAAAATAGGGGCGGGGTTCGAAATAGGGGTAAAGTTTGGTTTGAAAAAAGGGGTCAAAAGGCAAAGAGTTTGATAATTGGGTATGTTTTGAACTTTGAGGTTTTCCCTGTACCTTGAAATTGAGCTCAAAGAAGAGAAATGTTGGATTCTTTGGCATGTTTTAAGAGTTTTAAAAAAATTCACCATCCCAAAACCGTCCGATTAGCACTGCCCTTCAACCTTCCCATATTTGGGAAAACTTTTTAAAGTGCTATTTAAAAAAAAGGGGCAGACATCATGAGGGACAGTGGCCCGGGCAACATCAACCAGCATTGGGAGACAACATCAACCAGCAGTTGGGAAAACATCATTAAGCACAGTGGGAGACATTTTGGGGGTAGCAAATTGGGAGACATGAACGCAAAATGGGAGACATGAAGCAGCAGTGGCAGAAAACATGAAGCAGCAAATGGGAACATCAGAGGTACAGTGGCAGACAACATGGGGTAGCAGTGGCAAAAAACACCATGAAGCAGCAGTGGCAGACACATGAAAACAGCAGTGGCAGACACTATGAAGCAGCAGTGGCCCGACACCAAAAAGCACAGTGGCAGACAAACCCGAAAACAGCAGTGGCAACCCCATGAAACAGCAATTGGGAGACAAACCCTGAAGCAAACAGTGGCAGACACCATGAAGGGAGCAGTGGGGAGACAACCATGAAGCAAACAGTGGCAGACACCATGAAGCAGCAGTGGGGAAGACACCCCGAAGCAAACAGTGGCAGACAAACCCTGGGAACAAAAGGAGTGGCAAAAAACCAAGAAGCAGCAGGGCAAACACCATGAAGCAGCAGTGGCAGACCCCCATGAAGCAGCAGTTGGGGAAAAAATCATGAAGCAGGCCCGTGGCCCGACAGAAGCAGCCGTGGCAAACATCATGAAAAGGGAGGGCAGACATTAACGCCCGTGGCAACATCATCAAGCAGGAGGGGGCAGACAACATGAAGGAGCAGTGGCGACAAAATGAAAACAAGTTGGGGAAAAACCATGAAGCAACAAAGGGGAGACACCATGAAAAAACAGTGGCAACACCAAAGAAGCACAGTGGCAAACATCAAGAAGCAGCATGGCAAAAAAGAAGCACAGTGGCAAACAACATGAAGCAGCATTTGGGGGGGGGGGGGGGCATGAAAGAGCAAGGGGGCAGGGCATGAAGCCATGGGAGACCAAACCCCCAAGCAAAATTGGGAAAAACAACATGAAGCAGGGTGGCAGACAACATTAAGCAAAGGGGTTGGGGAGGGCAACAGAAAGGGAGGGGTGGCGACAACATGAAGCAAGGTTGCAACCCAAAATGAAGCAGGGGGCAGACAAACCGAAGCAGGAGTGGGGAGACAACAAAAAAAACAGGGGTGGCAGACAACATTTAACAGAGTGGGAACAAAATGACAGGAGTGGAGACAACATGAAAAGGGGCAGTGGCATAAAAACAAAAGGAGCAGTGGCAGACAACATAAGGAGCAGTGGCAGACAACATGAAGGAGCAGTGGGGGAGACAAACATGAAGGAGGGAGTGGCAGACAACTTGAAGGGGCATTTGGGAGAAAAACGTGAAGGAGGGAAATGGCAGAAAAACTGAAGGAGCCCGTGGCAGAAAAACTTTAAGGAGCAGGGCAGACAACGTGAAGGAGCAGTGGCCCGACAAAGTGAAGGGGCATTTGGGAGACAACCCTGAAGGACTTTGGGAGACAACGTGAAGGAAACAGTGGGAACAAAAGTTAAGGAGGGAGTGGCAGACAACCCTGAAGGAGCAGGGCCGACCAAACGTGAAAAGGGGCAGTGGCAGACAACGGGAAAAGCATTGGGAGACAACGTGAAAGGGGCAGTGGCAACAACGTGAAAGAGCATGGCAAAACAAAAAGGAGCATGGGAGACAACATGAAGGAGAGTGGCAGACAACATGAAGGGGGCATGGCAAAAACATGAAGGGCAGTGGGCCCGACAACCAAAGAAGGGCAGTGGGAGACAACATGAAGGACCCGTGGCAGCAACATGAAGGAGCAGGGGAAGGGAACATGAAGGGCTGGGAGACAAAATGAAGGAACATTTGGGAGACCAAAAGAAGGAGCAGTGGCAGACAACATTTAAAGGAAACAGTGACAGAAAATTAAAAGGGGCATGGCAGACAAAATAAAGAAGCAGCAATGGCAGACATAAGCAGCAAATGGGAGACAACAAAACAGCCCGGCAGAAAAACATGAAGCAGCAGGGGCAAAAAAACATGTGCAGCATGGCAACAAAAATTAGGAAACAGTTGGGAGACAACATTAAGCAGGGGAGGGCAGACATCATGAAGCAGCAGTGGCATACACCATGAACACAGTGGGAGACCAAACCCTGAAGCAGCAGTGGCAACACCATGAACCCCAGTTGGGGGAGACAACAAGAACAGCCCGTGGCAAAACACCATGAACAAACAGTGGCCCAAAAACCCTGAAACAAACAGTGGCAAACATCAAAGAAAACAGCAGTGGCAGACCCTGAACAGCATGGGAGACATTAAGCCGCAGTGGCAAAACATCATGAAGCACATGGCAGAACCCTGAAACACAGTGGCAAACATCATGAAGCAGCATTTACAGACATGAAACAGCAGGGCAGACATAACAGCAGTGGGAACACCCTAACAGCATTTGGGAGACATGAAGCAGCAGTGGAAAACATCTGAAGCAGCAGTGGCAGAAAATGAAGCACAGTGGCAGGGGCATCATGAAACAAAACCCCAAAAAAAATTTTGGGGGGGAGACATCATGAACAGCAGTGGGAAAACATGAAGCAGCAGTGGGAGACATCATGAACAGCAGTGGGCAAAAACAAACAGGGGGAAAATCATGAAGCAGCAGTGGGCAACCCTCATGAAACGCATGGCAGACATGAAAGGGGCAGTGGCAGACATCCATGAAGCAGCAGTGGCAAACATCATGGGAAACACAAAAGGGAACATCGTGAAAACCGCAGTGGCGCAAGAAGCAGCAGTGGCAGACATAAGCAAGGGAGTGGGAAACATCAAAAAGGAAAGGGGAGGGGAAAAAGAAGCAGCAGTGGCAGACAAGAAGCAGGAGGCAGACAACAGGAAAAGGGGCGTGGCAACATAAGCAGCAGTGGGAGACCAAAAGGAAGGGGCAGTTTGGGAGACAACGTGGGAAAGGGGCAGTGGCAGACCAAAGTGAAGGAGCATGCAGACAACAAAGAATGAGCAGTGGCAGACAAAATGGAAAGGGGCAGTGGGGAGACATGAAGCAGCAGTTGGGAGACAACAGAAGGAGCAGTTGGGAGACAAAATGAAGGGGCAGTGGCAACAACATGAAGGACAGTGGGAGACATGAAGCAGCAGGGGCAGACAAAAAGCAGCAGTGGGAAACATCATTAAGCAGCCCTTGGGGACTATGGGAAACAGCAGTGGCAGACATCAAAGCAGCAGTGGCAAAATGAAGGGAGCAAATGGCAAACATCATAAGCAAACCCCTTGGGCCCGACATGAAGGAGCAGTGGCAAAACATCATGAAGGAACAAAGCAAAACTTTATAAGCACAAATGGCAGACATAAGCCGCAGTGGGAACATGAATCAGCCTTTGGGAGGGCATCAAGAAGCAGCAGTGGCAGACACATGAAGCAGCAGGGCAAAAATCTGAAAACAGCCCGTGGCAAACAACATGAAGGAGCCCGTGGCAACATGAAAGGGGCAGTGGCCCGACCACGTGAAGGAGCAAAGGCGGACCAAAGGGGAAAAGGGGCAGGCAGACAACATGAAAAGGGGCAGTTGGGAGACAAATGAAAGACGTGGGGGGACCCCATAAAAGCTTTGGCCAAAACATGAAACGCAGTTTGGAAAACATCATGAAAACACAGTGGGGAGGACAAAGAAGCGCAGTGGCAGACAACATGAAGGAGCATTTGGGAGACATCAGAAGCAGCAGTGGCAAAAACATCATGGGAAACAGCATGGCAAAACATCATGAACAGTGGCAACAAACATGAAGCAGCATGGCAGACATCATGAAGCAAACATGGCCCGACACAAGAAGCAGAGGCAGACAACATGGAAAACCAATTTCAGACATTAAGCAAACAGTGGCAGACAGGAAACCCGCAGTGGAAAACATCATAAGCAGCAGGGCAGACCCTCAAAAGCAGCAGTGGGAGACATCATAAGCAGCAGTGACAAACAAACATGAAACAAAAGTGGGAGACAAAAATTTAAAAAAAACAGGGCAAAAACAACATTTTAAAGGGGCAGGGGGACAACATTAAGGACATGGCAAAACAACATGAAGGAAGGGAGTGGCAGACAAAATGAAGGGGCAGTGGCAAAAAATGAAGGGGCATGGCAAAACAACATAAAAGGGGCATGGCCCGACAACACAAGCACCAGTGGGGAAAACAACACAAGGAGCCGGGGGCAGACAACACAAAGGAGCAGTGGGAACCCAAAACGAAGGAGCGTGGCAGACAACATGGGAAACAAACAGTGGCAGACAACATAAGCAGCAGTGGCAGACATCATGAAAACAGCCGTGGGAGACATATGAAGCCCCAAATGACGACATCATGAAGCAGCAGTGGGAGACATATGGGAAACAGCAGGGGGCCCGACATCATAAGCATCATGGCAAACATCATGAAGCAGCATGGCAAAACATCATGAAGCAGCAGGGCAGAAAATCTAACCAAACATGGCAGACATCATGAAGCAGCATTGGGAGAAAAAACATGAAGCACATTTGGGAACAACATGAAACAGCAGTTCAGACATGAAGCAGCAGTGGGCAGACAATAGAAGCACATTTTACAACATCATGAAGCAGCAGGGGCAACATCATGAAGCAGCAGTGGGCCCAAAAATCATGAAGCACAAAGGGGAGACAATATGAAGCAGCAGTGACAGACAAAATGAAGCAGGGAGTGACAGACAACATAAACACATGACAGACAACCTTAAGCACAGTGACAGACAATTTTAAAAACAGCAGTGACAACCAAAAGGGAAACAGGGAAAATTTACAGACAACATGAAGGGGCAAATGACAGACAAAATGAAGCCCGCATGGGCAGACAACATGAAGCACAGTGACAGACAAAAGAAGCAGCAGTGACAGAAAATCATTTAAGCAGCATGCAGACCCAAAATGAAGCAGCAGTGACAGAAATGAAGCAGCCAAATGGGCAGACAACAGAAACAGCAGTGACAGAAAAAAATAAAACAGGGAGTGGGAAAAAAAACATGAAGCAGGGGTGACAGACCACAAGAAGCAGCAGTGACAAAACCAAAATGAAGCAGCCGTGACCGCAATATGAAGCACAGGGCAGACAACATGAAGCAACAGTGCAGACATCAAGAAGCAGCAGTGACAACATCATGAAGGGACATTTACAACAAAAATGAAGGGAGCAGTGACAGACAATATGAACAGCAGTGGCAGGGCAACAGAAGCAGCAGGACAGACATCTGAACAGCAGTGACAGACATCATGAAGCAGCATGACAGACATCAAAAGCAGCTGACAGACAAAAATTTAAAGCAGCAGTGACAACCTCATTTAAAGAGCAGTGACCGACATCATGAAACCGGGGTTACAGACCCAAAATGAAGCAGTAGTGACAACATCAAAGAAGCACAGTGGGCAGACAATATAAGGCCCGCAGTGACAACATCAAAAGCACAGTGGGGAAAACAACAAAGAAAGCGCAGTGACAGACAACATGAAAACAGCAGTGACAGACATCATGAAGCAGCAGTGGGCAGACACATGAAGCAGCAGTGACAGACAAATGAAGGGATCAGTGGGGACAAATGAAGCAGCAGTGGCAACAACATTAAGCCGCAGTGACAGACAATATGAAGCCCGCAATGACAGACAACAAGAAGCAGCAGTGGCAACCCTCATGAAGCAGCGGAAGACATGAAAACAGCAGTGGCAGACAACATGAAGCAGCAGTGGCAGACAATATTAAGCACAGTGACAGAAAAAATATAAGCACATGACAGACACATGAAACAGCAGTGGGAAACAACATGAAAACACAGTGACAGACAATATGAAGCACAGTGGCAGACATCATAGAAGGGAGCATGGCCCGAAATATTAAGCAGGGGATGGCAGACATTTATGAAACAAACAGTGACCCCGACATCATGAACAGCAGTACAACATCATGGGAAGGGAGCAGTGACAGACACATGAAAGCATTTACAGACATAAAGAAAAAAGGGAGTGGGAGACATCAAGAAGCGCAGTGCAGACATCAGAAGCCAAAACAGGGCAACAACAAGAAGCAGCAGTGACAGACAATTTTGAAGCAGCAGTGACAGAAAATGAAGCACCCTGGCCGACAACAAGAAGCCCGCAGTTGGCAGACAAAATGAAAACAGCCCGTTTACAGACAATTTTAAGCAGAGTGACAACAATATGAAGCAGCAGTGGCAACAACAGAAGCAGCATGACAGACAACAGAAGCAGCAGTGGGCAGACAACATGAAACACATGACAACCCCTATTTAAGCAGCATGGGGAAGTGTAGCATTTAAAAAGTACAAAATTTAAATATAGCAAAAAGAAAGTAAACACTTTTAATCACCTGACTTTTTTTTGGGGTTTTTCAGGGCCGAATGGCCGCTGTGGTGGGTTATAAACCCCAACAACAACCCAAAGGCCGCCGTCACCCACCCACTACCCCTTAATAAAAGACAGTATTTTAAAATTTATTCAATGTATATATCATTTTTCTGTGGTATTAAAATTGTTTATTATGGCATATTACATAATTGTGAAAAATAAAAAAAGCCATAGACTGATTCTAAAGGGAAAATTTTTGAAGAATTTTTTTTCGTACTTGGAATTTCCCCTGGAACAAATTAATTCCATTTAAAATTTAATTTTTAAAAACCCCTTTTAGGGTCCCAGACCCCTCTTCTAAACTTTTTTCCAGGGTCGAAAAATTTTTTTGGAAAAAAAAAAATTATTTTATTCTGATGAAAAGATTGAGAAACTTTTTTCCCCAAACATAATGACAAACCAAAAAAAAATGAAATTTTTATGGAAAATTTTTGGAATTGTGCCCCCGCGAAGTTTGGGGGTCCCCCAAAGATGTTTTTCGCATCCGTGTTTCAACCCAAAATTTTTAGCCCAAATTTTCGGGCCCAAATTTGAGTGTTTTCTAGTCGACAAAAATTTATAAAATATTTTGCTAGAAACTCCATTTTTTTCTATTTTAAAAAAAATACAAGAAACCACCCCTTTAAACCCATTTCAAAATATCCCAAAAAAATGGGCAGAAATTGGCAATTTTGCCCAAAATCACCAAATTTTTAAAAGATGCCAATTTCCAAATTTGGGTCCAAATAAACAAGGCAGACATTCTTGGCACTAAAATAACATTTCCTCTTTCTTTTGTCACGCCCCAGGCCCCCTCTTACATTTCTTTTGCTTTCCACTTTGAAATTTTTATTCTCATAAAAAATAGAAGATTTACTGTCATGCAGACTACTGCTTATTTGTAGAAAGGGTTTATAAATAATATCAGCGCACTTGTGAAAGAATACTAGAACTCACCAGTTGATGTGTATTGGACGTTGGCATGATTTTTGGTACTTTGACTTTGGCAAAAATCGAACATTTCTGCTACTTTGAGCTAAATTTCAAGGTACTTTTCATTGTAAAACCCAAATCAAATCATCTCAATTTCTGTAATATGTCTTCCATTCTATAAAATGAGACCAGGAAAACTAGAATACAACCATAAATAGCATACGAAAATACAGTGCAAAGTCCTGTTTTAAACCAAAACACGGTCGGAGTTTTTTTTCTCATTGTGCACTGTGTGCTGCAGGATTTTTTTTATACTGTGCACATGATCACATAGACCCATTCTTTCATATGTAGGCCTACCAGCTTTCTCTTGCTAGATTTGAAGGCGCTAGAATTTAGGCGTATTAGTACGTCAATAACCCCTGGTGTAACCGTACTAGTACTTTGGAAACCCTGAAAGGGGTTAAATGAGGAAGATGACTAGCAAACTAGCAAATCCAATGTGAGCAAGGTCATGGAATAGATTAAACCGTAAGTAGAGGTTCCCACTATATTCCAGTTTCAAAATAGGTCCAGAATAAATAATGCAGGCATTCCTGGCACTAAAATAACACTTACTCTTTTTCATTAGTTATGTTTTCAGGCTTTACAATGAATTCCAGTTTGATTTTTTATTCACATAAAGAATTTTTATTCCACACCAAAAAATAAAATGATTTACTGTTATGCAATGTTGTAATAACTGTATAAAAAAATATCACCACATTCATGAAGATATAATTATACCACCAGCTGATGCTTATTAGACTCGTGATGTCTTTTGTTTACTCTTAAACATCAGCAAAAAATGAATATTTCGCTACTTTGAGTCAGTTTCAAGCCATTTTTAAATACAGTAGGGCCCCCCCCTTTACGGCATTTTCACCTTATGGCATTCCTCTAATATGGCAACGTCCAATATGACCAAAATTTGGGTATAACGGCAAGCGGCCTTTTAAATACGACGCTCCCCACCAGGTTTGTTTACATTCTTCGTGACCATATCTATTATGTCTGGAAACTTCCAAATTTCAAGTGTTTTGAAGTTATTGCGTATTTTTATGTCCTCTGATAATTATAATTATGTGTACCTGTACCTAAATAATTTACACTATGCTGGTATGCAGGTACAC